CCCCTTGTGTTGGTATCAGGATGGTGAGAAATTCCTGATTAGGCCAGAGTTAGTACAACAGACTACAGACAAGGTGATGTTAATACAGAGCAGAATGAAGATTGCACAGAGCCGCCAAAAGTCTTATGCGGATAGGAGGAGGAGACCCTTGGAGTTCTCAACTGGTGATCATGTTTTTCTCAGAGTTATACCTATGACTGGTGTTGGGAGAGTCATAAAACCTAAGAAGTTAACCCCCAAATTTATTGGACCCTACCAGATTACCAGGCATATTGGACCAGTAGCTTATGAGATTGCCCTCCTCCCTCCCTTGGCAAGGCTGCACCCTGTATTTCACGTATCTCAATTGAGGAAATACGTGTCTGACCCGAGCCACATTTTGGAAGCTGATGAAATCCAAGTGAGAGAAGATCTGTCTTTTGAAGCCACTCCAGTGAGAGTAGAGGACTCACAACTCAGACAGTATAAAGGTAAAACCATCAGAGTGGTCAAGGTAGTCTGGAATACCAAGCCGAGTGATTGCACATGGGAACTAGAGGAAAAGATGCGGAAGAACTATCCGCAACTGTTTACCTGGTAAGTATGATTTTCGAGGACGAAAATTTTAAATTGTTGGGAAGTATTGTAACATACTATAATTAAAAGAAAAGCAAAAAGAAGAAGAGAGAGAAAATCTGGTTTTCTTCTTCTTCTTCGTACAAACATATCTCCTATCTCCATAACTCAGCTCTACCTTCTCTCCTACAGATCAAGAATCTGAGACCACCGTTGTGCTCACGGCGGAGAATAGCAGAAGACCCACCGATTAGAATTTCGTTCCAGTAAGTTTGAATTTTAGGGTTTTTGCTAGTTAAAATTTGGGGTTTTGAGAATTTAAGGAATTAATTGTGGAATTAAATGTTTCCTCTTACTCTATCACTCCCCAATTTCATGTTTTCGGGTTTAATTTTGTTTATTACTTCAATTTCGTTTTAGGGTTTTCCAAATTGAGGGAGAATGGTACAAATTAGGTGTTTTGACATTCCTAAGGTTTTATTGGAATTAGGTTGACGTGTAACATCACCCTCAGGTAAGAGAGGCTTCTTTAATTTTTATTGGTTGTATTGTATTGATGAAAAGTTTAATAAAGTGAATGATGAGTATGTTTTTTATATATATATGTGATATGAGAGTATGATTGTGATATATATACGTGCTATATGTGATATGAGAGTATGATTGTGATATATATACGTGATATATGTGATATGAGAGTATGTTTGTAATATATATACGTGCTATATGTGATATGAGAGTATGATTGTGATATATATACGTGCTATATGTGATATGAGAGTATGTTTGTGATATATATACGTGCTATATGTGATATGGTATTGTGAGCATTGTGGAAATCTTGCAGTGTAAATTGTTTTGAAATAGATATCTTTGTATCATTGAATTTCTAAATTGTATGGTTGGTTTGTGTGGTTTGAAGGAGAAATGATGTACCGTTTTAAGTGAATTATGATTGCATAGTAGTTGAGAATTTAAATATTGGACTGGATATTTTGAACTGCATGATGTTGGTTTGATTCTAGAAACCCTGAGTAGAATAGTGTGTATGAAATAGTTGTTAAATGATAGATTTGATGTACTTTATAGAATAATGTATATGGAATTATGGATAGGCGTAATAGGGTATCCAGACTTCCAAGATGTTCCTAGTCATATAGACGAAGACATCTGTGGTGGGAAGTCGATGGAGACATAGCATAGTGTCAATCCTATGCATGTGTTGCTCTGATAAGAGGTTGGAAAAAAAATGATATTATAGGCCTGGGGCCATGAAATTTTAAGGGTCTGGGACCCCAAATATTCCTCATCAGGTGTCTACCTTACTGGTCTGAATTCCATATAGTTTTCCAGAAAGCGTCAGGCTTGTTGTGTGTTGTGATTGTAAAATGCTAGACTCTCCGGTGAGTCTAGTTTTAGGATGTTTGTGAATTAATAAGTGTTGTTTGCAATGTTACACTGTTCTACATATTTAATCAAATTGTAGTTTACCCTTGCTTTTGTTGCGTGCTTGATCTTTTGGGATCCTGCTATGATCGTGTTATACACGTGAGCAGATTCCAAATCTTCTACATGTGGTAGTAAGACCCAGTGATTTGAGAAATGGAGTAGAGACCTCCTAAATTTGAAAGAGTTATTTTGTGTTGTGTAATTAGGTGTAAAACATTTGTGTAATTAGGATTTTTGATGTGTGATGTTTTCTTTTCTTTTCTTCTTTTCAACTATTTTGAATATGTAAATTGAACTATTATACCTCTTTTAGGTGAAAAAATTATTTTCTTCCTTCATTTATTGAAAAATTTTAAGTAGAATTTACGGGTTGTTACATCTATCATTGGTTATCTATATATTATCTATTATGTATATTTATTTATATTTATATAATATAATTTATTATCTATTTTATATTCATTCAATTTAAATACTTTTTTAATTTAATAAATAATAATTTAATAGATACACAGAAAGAAATAATATTTTAAGAAAGAACACATACTCTTATAAAAGATATAATAATTTTGATAATCTCTCATGAGATATCTGTGAATAAGTTTTCTTTGATATAATAAGATGTTTTTGTTGTGAAGTAGACGTTAAGCCACTAGTATATGGTATATATACTTTAAAAAGATAAATGCTATTTTATATTTTAATATAATTAAATTTTATAATAAATATTTAAAAATATTTTTTAATATTTAAATTATATTTAAATTTATAAATAAAAATTAAATTAAAAATAATAATTTTACATATTTTATATAGACACGATATGATATAATATGTGATATTAATAAATAACTAATTAGATTATATTTAATATTAATTAAAAAAAATCCTTATTTCCATTCAAAAAATGTACATGTTAATTGTGATTATAATAGGAGAGTATTGAAAAAAATACAATTCCAAGTTTGAAATTTCCTTTTTCATCTAATTTTATATAATAACATAATATTAGAAAAATTTGTATTAAAGTGAAAAATTATGTCACTTATTACCATATAATTTTCATTGAAATAAGATAATAATTTTTTTAAAATATTGTTTCAATTCTATTTTTAAAATTTCGAGTGAATCTGGTATTGAATTAAAAAAAAAATCATTTTAGTATTTCAAATTTTGGAAAGTATATCTATAATTTCTTATATTAAATTTCAAAAGATTAAAATAATTTTAAAAATTATCTTTAGGTCATCAGGTCAAAATCGTATTTCACATTCTAGTAACTAAAATATATTTTACAAATTTGAAAAGCGAAGCGAAATTCACAAAAAAATTATTTCAAAATTAAAATATCATATATTAAATTAAAAAAATATATTTGTGTTACATTTTATCAATGAAAATATATGTATTCGGGCAAATTTTTTTACTATTTTTATTAAAATATATATTATATTTTTATGATTTTATTATTCTTATTTATCAATTATCAAATAATAATTAAATAATTATATTTTTAAGAATTAAGAGAGTTTTAAATGATTGATAATTAAAGGTTTTATTATTTTATACTCATTAAGAATATCTTATTAATTTTTTTTATAAATTATATATTTTATATTTATTAATATTTTAAGATGATAAATCTAAAAAATAATTAATTTATATATATAATATTGTAATATATAATAATAGTAATATTACAAATAGTTTATATCTATATTAAAAATAAAAATTTCATATATATTAATATAAATATAATAAATTAAAAAATATATTTAATAAGTAATAATATAATTTAAAAATTATAAAAATTTAAATATGAGACCGTATATAAAATATTAAAATTAATTTATATATATATATATATATATATATATATATATATATATATTTTGTTTATAAATAACATAAAACGAAAATAATAACTCAATTTCTAATTCTAATTAAATGGGATTTTGGTGAGAACGATTAATAAAGTTCTGATTAAAGATTAGGAAGGCAAAACCCATTGCCACTTGTTATTAAGAGACTGAAAAATAAATTATTTGAATCAAGACAAAATAATAAAAATAGAGAGAAATAAGTAAAAATTTATAATTATTTTGATTGATTTAAAATAATAAAAAATTATATCAAATAAATAATTTAATAAATAACTAAAATATTTTCTTTTAAAATTTAGTAAATAAATTAATTAATTAAAGATAAAACATAGTTAAATATGAAATAATTATTTTTTAAATTTTGAAATAATATTAAAATTAAAATTGTAATATTTTCTTAAAGTAAATTATTTTTTATATAAGAAAATATAAAATATATATTAATAACCTCACATCAAGTAAATACATCTACATTAACTCACATACTAGATATAATAATATTAAATAAATCTTTACTTCAAAATTGTAAATCCTAAATCCTAATTATAATAATAAATTAGGTGTTTTCCTTACAAACACAAATAAATGAAAATAACATAAAATTATTTATAAAAAAAGAGTTGCATAAATGTTAAAAAAAAAAAACTAAATGCCCACTCATGTATAATCCATATGTAATAATCATAATTTTAAATTAAACATAATACCAAAATAATTAAAAAAAAGTACTATTATATAATATATATATATATATATATATATATATATATATATATATATATATTAATTATAGATATTTTGATCGTGGTGAACTGGACTTCGAAGGAACTTTCCAGAGTGTAAAAAACAACTGTTTCCTTGGAAAGTTCGGGATACCTTGCAGCGAAACTCAAAAAAGCAAAACCACACCGTTTCTTTCATTTGGTGTGAATTAAAAAAAAAAATCCAGAGAGAGGTAGAACACTCCAGAACCCATTTGTTTCACACCCATTTCTATATAAACCTCTGCCTTTTCTTCTTCATTCAACAAGATCATTCTCTGCAATAAGCTCTATTCAATTATCTAGCTTTCCTTCGTGGACTATTGTCTCTGCTGTTATCTTTTGAGATTCAATGGCCGACGCTGAAACCTTCGCTTTCCAGGCTGAGATCAACCAGCTTCTGAGCCTCATCATCAACACGTTCTATAGCAACAAAGAGATTTTCTTGCGTGAAATCATAAGCAATGCTTCTGATGTAAGCCTCTTCTTTCCTTCACTCTTTGTGGTTTCAGTTTTATCATTGCTTGAATGAAAACTCATCAGTTATATTATTACATGCTAAATTGGTGAAACATGTTATCTGAACTTGGGTTGTATTTTGTGTTCTTACATGGATTGTTCAATTAAATTTTTTAATTTAATTTAATTTGATTGATAAAATATGCTACTAGTGACGGATATTTTGTCATTGGAGATATTTGTTATTTGGTTGTTATGAATCATCCGCAAATATTTCAATTTCCACGTTCAGATTCTTAATTCTTACAGTAACTTCGTTTAATGTTTGAAATATTTTACTCATTGTATCTATCATCATGAGAACTTAGTAATTGAATTTGTTGGTCATTTCAGTTGTTTATATACACTTCAATTAGTGACCCGTTAACGTATACATTTTACTCCTAAAATACATTGAGCATTACAGGAATGTTACTGTTTTTTGCTTAACAGTAATAGATTGTTTATTAGTTAACATTGTCCTTTGAATTTTACTGTGTTTGATTTATTTAATTTTTGGACAATGTAGGCTTTGGATAAGATTCGATTCGAGAGTTTAACCGACAAGAGCAAGCTCGATGCCCAGCCAGAGCTCTTCATTCGGCTCGTGCCCGATAAGGCCAACAAGACGCTTTCCATTATTGACAGCGGTATTGGAATGACTAAAGCAGGTAATGAATTCATAGTACAGGAGTTGGAATACAAGTGTTCAGAGTTTCGAATGTGTTATTTTTCTGACTGTGCTTTTGCATGCTGTGTTGTTTGTAGATTTGGTGAACAACTTGGGTACCATTGCAAGGTCTGGCACCAAGGAATTCATGGAAGCGCTGCAGGCTGGTGCTGATGTAAGCATGATTGGGCAGTTCGGTGTGGGGTTCTACTCTGCTTACCTTGTTGCGGAGAAAGTCATTGTTACCACCAAGCACAACGATGATGAACAGTACATTTGGGAGTCTCAGGCCGGTGGCTCTTTCACTGTTACTAGGGACACTGATGGTGAGCAACTTGGAAGGGGAACCAAAATTACACTCTTCCTGAAGGAAGATCAGGTAATTTATCACTCAAACTACAATTTATTGTTGATAAATTGGATTTATTATGTTCTTTTAATATGAAATTGGTTTAGTTTTTCTCGATTTTTGTTGTTGATTTCTTTTAAATGTGATTAATGTTATTTTGTTGAAAAATAGTGAGCTTTTAAGCGACTGGCTATGTTATTTTGTTCAAAAAATGAATTTTTATAGGTGACGTGGTTTGTTATTTTTTTGGGAATAATTTATTTATTGACTTCATGTTTTCAATTTATTAGAAATAGATCATTTTTAAAAGTATAAGAAAACTATTGTCTTGTATGATAACTAGTGATCGGTTTTCTGAGTAAAGCGTATTTCATTATTTTTTTTCTAATCCATGTTTTGTTTCAAAATGAGTTTGTACTACACTTTATTGATGTATTTTGTTCAAAATTAGATTTTTAATCGACCCTATTTTCGAAAAATTGAATATTTTTCATGGTGCCGTTTGTTGTATTTTTTTTTTTTTTTTTGCAGAATTCAATCTTTTCTTTTTTGGTGAGTAGTAGTTCTGCTCTGATTGATTAACGTCTTTGATTGTGAACAGTTGGAGTACTTGGAAGAGAGGAGGATCAAGGATCTTGTGAAGAAGCACTCTGAATTTATTAGCTATCCTATCTACCTTTGGACTGAGAAGACAACCGAGAAAGAAATCAGCGATGATGAAGATGATGAGCCCAAGAAAGAGGAAGAAGGGGACATCGAGGAAGTTGACGAGGACAAGGAGAAAGATTCTAAGAAAAAGAAGATTAAGGAGGTTTCTCATGAGTGGCAACTCATTAACAAGCAGAAACCAATTTGGTTGCGGAAGCCAGAAGAGATCACCAAGGATGAATACGCTTCTTTCTACAAGAGCCTGACCAACGATTGGGAAGAGCACTTGGCTGTGAAGCATTTCTCTGTGGAGGGTCAGCTTGAGTTCAAGGCCATTCTCTTTGTACCTAAGAGGGCACCCTTCGATCTGTTTGACACCAGGAAGAAGATGAACAATATCAAGCTTTATGTCAGGAGGGTGTTCATCATGGACAACTGTGAGGAGCTCATTCCTGAATACCTTGGATTTGTGAAAGGTGTTGTTGACTCTGATGACTTGCCCCTCAACATCTCTCGTGAGATGCTGCAGCAGAATAAGATCCTGAAGGTGATCAGGAAGAATCTTGTAAAGAAGTGCATTGAGATGTTCAATGAAATTGCTGAGAACAAAGAAGACTACAACAAGTTCTATGATGCTTTTTCGAAGAATTTGAAGTTGGGTATTCATGAGGATAGCCAGAACAGGTCCAAATTGGCTGATTTGCTCAGATACCACTCTACAAAGAGTGGTGATGAAATGACAAGCTTGAAGGACTATGTTACAAGGATGAAGGAGGGACAAAAGGACATTTACTACATCACTGGAGAGAGTAAAAAGGCCGTGGAAAACTCACCTTTCTTGGAGAGACTTAAGAAGAAGGGTTATGAAGTTCTTTACATGGTGGATGCCATTGACGAGTATGCTGTTGGACAACTCAAGGAGTACGATGGCAAGAAATTGGTTTCAGCTACAAAGGAAGGGTTGAAATTAGATGATGAAACTGAAGAAGAGAAGAAGAAGAAAGAGGAGAAGAAGAAATCATTTGAAGAGCTCTGCAAGGTCATCAAGGACATTCTGGGAGACAAAGTGGAGAAAGTTGTTGTCTCTGACAGAATTGTTGATTCTCCTTGCTGTTTGGTCACTGGTGAGTATGGATGGACTGCTAACATGGAAAGAATCATGAAGGCTCAGGCTCTGAGAGATAACAGCATGAGTGGCTACATGTCTAGCAAGAAGACCATGGAAATTAACCCTGACAATGGTATCATGGAAGAGCTGAGGAAGAGAGCTGAAGCTGACAAGAATGACAAGTCTGTGAAGGACCTAGTGTTGCTTCTCTTTGAGACTGCCCTTTTGACTTCAGGTTTCAGCCTTGATGACCCCAACACCTTTGCTTCGAGGATTCACAGGATGCTGAAGTTGGGTCTCAGTATTGATGAAGATGAGAATGCTGGAGATGATGTTGACATGCCCCCACTGGAAGAGCAGGATGCTGGGGAGAGCAAGATGGAAGAAGTGGACTAATTACCATAGTTATTCATATGATATAATTATAATGGACTATGTTGTGTTTGTTGTCTGTTAGTTAAATGGTGGTGGATGCTGAGGTTTTCTTTTATTTCTTGTTTTTCTTTTCAATAGGATTTAGTTTTATGATGTGAAAATGTGTCTGTCTGGTGCATTCACCTTGTCAGAAATTGTTCTGCTAAACACATCAATTAAAAGAGCATGTGTTTCTTACACCTGTGAATACTGTTAGATGAGTGTACGATTGGGCATAACTTTTAGGAAATGTGTAAATTAATTCTCATGCAGGTGGTACCAAACTGTTATCAATTTAAATTTTGAAGGCTTGTGAAGTTCTTGCCAGATAATGCAATCACAGAAACCATTCCAATGCAATATTCTAGATTTGACGAAACTATTGCTGATCGAATACACAAATCTTACATTGAATAAGCTCAAGATTGTGTAATCTTACATTGCATTAAACTTAAGAATGTGTGACGATAAAATGCCTCAGCTGAATTTTTAACTTTTCATTTAAGTGACTTCATGAAGGCATAATTGTTCTATTTTTAACAAAACTATGGCAGCAGATATAAAATATAGAAGGAAAGAAACAATTAATTCAGGTCCAAATTTGATGCTTTCTGTTTAAAATGATTGTTACTAAAATACAACAAAGCTAACAATATATAGGCTAGATTTTATGAAAGTAAAACAATTATTTTAGATGGTATTAACACAACTTGATTGTCATGGTCACTTACTGGATTCTACAAAGACTTACACCAAATGCTCCGTTACCAAGCTTGGAAAGAGGCATTTCAAGAAACTTGAAATACAAGAAATTTAATTGTCAATGAGTTAAATTTTCCATCATTACCATGCCAATTTTTTTTATTTTTTTTTAGTTTAACAGTTAGATTTCGACCAACAGAGTTGGGATATACAATATTCTTGCTTATTATAATTCACTTCCATCTCTCCCAAAAACATTTAAACAGGTAAATTTAGGAGATATCTAGGAATATAATATTCTTGTTTCCAAGTATTTAATGTTTGGTTGACTATAATAGACAAATATTAGGTGCCGTACAGACCTTCACAAAACTGGAATGTAATATCCTTGCATCCAAATATTTGATGTTTGGTTGAATTTAATACACTATTAGGTGCTGTACAGACCTACACAAAACTAGAAGTAACTATACATTCTCACATTATTGTTATCTTCTAAAAAGTTTATCTGTATATACACAAAATCATGATTGAATTATGAGAATTAACTATTTGCTTAGCTACAATGAGCAACAGCAATAAAAATCTACAGCAGGATAGAAAATTAGCTGTGACTCCAACATCTCCACCTTATTTCTTTCCATGACCATCTTACAACATCATGAAAATAGTAACACCCTGACTGCATCCAATTGATGGGAAAATAAGCCATATTATGCCTCCACCTCATTAGCTCTTCATCTTCTCATTGCACATGGTCTATCCACATTGATAGTTTTTTCTCTCTGGTTCAACCTCATATGATGAAAGCAGCTTCCTCTACATGAATAATGTATGCATATTAGTAAAGAGGATGACCATCATATATCCAGTTTCTTACTGTTCTTTCCCCTAAGAGATTCTCATACATACCATTTTTTATTTTTCATTGGTCCCTATGGATTTAGACTATAAGGACTAAAATAAATTATTTTGAAGTAGGGACCAAAGAGATAAAAATGTATGTGCAACGACCAAAATATATTGAAATGATGTGGGACCAAAATGGATTATTTTAAGTATAAGGACCAAAAGGATTAAATGAATGATTAAACTTAGTAGTAGCCCTCCAATTTTATGTTTCTTGATGGACAGTAGCTCAAGACATGATGAATAAGAATACTATAGATAGTACATTGATGCCTGGTATTTCTTAAGTTCCATGACAACATATGAAACATAGTATCCATAAAAATTATGTTTTTCTTGCCAAAAGATATACAGTTAGGAAATATCCACCACTTAATTAGTTGACATAATGGAGTTAACAAGTTACTGGTACTGACAATTGTTCTAAATTAAAACATTCTTATAAATAATTCTGTCTCTACTCATCTCTTTTCGTTTCCTTTGATAAGATGACAAAAGAAACTCCTTGATAGCAAAGAAAAAAAAAACACATACGATATAGGAAAATATCTCCTGCATCAGCAACCGTGAAAACAATTATTCGAGTTATACGGCAGTAAAATGAAACAAAAAGAAAATACGACTTTACAAGAATGAATTCTCAAGCTGCTTGCACAGGCAATTACTCATCATGAAATAATATATATTTATAACAATCTAAATATCGGTGAAATGAATACTTACATGATCCTCAAAATCTGGGCTAGTTAAATTGATAGACAGGTTTCTCATTAACAGTAGCACCTAAAAATAGCCAGGAACATTCATTTGTAAATACTTCTGAGCCAGCAAAAATTCATATATACAACTGTAGTAACTACATTGGATGAATGTTGACAGTTTGAATTTGGTTAACATTGGCTTGATGCGATGTTATTTATGTTTGAATTTTTTTTATTATAAAAGCATGTTAGAAACTAAATTCAGTATACAACTTTTTATCCAATGCAAAAGCTAATCTAGTAGTTTCGATTCAGAATGAATTATTGATCCAGAATCTAATCTTCAAAGTGATTCTAGAAAATCCAGTGTGAGACCAAGACACACTTAAGGAGTAGTAATTAATTGCCTGAAGCATATTAAAAACCAATTTGATAAGTATCTTTAACACAATCGAAATCTAGCTAAAAGGAATAAATAACAAATATTGGATTGGAGGAACATAAACATACTGTCTCAACATCTATACGGTCCATCTTTTTTAGTTTCTGCAGATGCTCAGTTGCATTTGGATCAAATACACTGCCAATGAAACCGTATACCTGATTAAAATCTGGAAGAACTGCAATAAAAAGAATTAAACTGTTAATTTAAAATCAAGACAATAACAAATAAAAAAGTATCAATGTTACTATAAAAGTGTATTTGCATGGCAATAAAGTATATTATATTGGAACTTTGTATGTCTGTCCGTATGTGGGTGAAAGCGGGAGTTAGTATGAAGCTACTCAAACGGCTTTCAAGACACGATGATAAATGAAATAAGTCACAAGAACATTATACCGGTTGAATGCAAACAAAAGCTAGAAGCTTGTAATTTTCAGCATTTCAGTTATATCACAGTTCAAGTGAAAATTTTGATGCATAAGACAATCCTATCAAGATCCGTGTCGAAGATTGAAAATTTAAGTTACTTCAACCCCAGCGTGTGGTTTTTAGTATACAACTGCCGTAAAGCACACACTGAATATGTGCCACTGTCAGCACAAACTATTTTTATTACAACATTCCATAATCCCACGATGCATGCATTTAACCATGAAAGAAAGTCAACTTCAAACACCAAAGGAAAAAATACTAAACCCTTGCCTCTCAATGGATGGATTTTATTCCCTTGAGGTCCTTGACCATTAGATTCACCTAGTGGGCGCACTTTAGGAGTGCTTTCACCACTACTGCAAGGATTATTCACTTTTGTCACTGCAATGGACATATAAAGTAGCAAACATAATTAAGTGGTTAGTATCTCTAAAAAAATTTCATAACAAGTATAGTCAATAAACTATGTCTACTTTTCATGAACAAAATCCCAGGATCAATCTAATAACAGAGTTACAAAAAATTGTAGCATTTAATACCAGGGGATAAATTGACAGTTTGCAAGGTGTTGTTTGACCAGGACGACACCACAGTGTTCACAGGAAGTTTAAGCATCGCAGGGGAGTCATTCTTCAGGATATATCCAGGTTCAAGCAAAGCAGATGATGATTGAAAAGATCCTGATACTTGTGGGAGTACAGGAGCTGCCAGATATCAATTTAGAAGTGTTAGATGTAAATCTACTTAAATTGTATACACAATATATGATGAAAGATTAAGACCATTTTTGGAAGCTTTTTGAGGATATGGATGTGCAGCTTTTCTTTTAGGCCTGGGTGGCGGAAGATGTTCACTTGCTCCACTTTTCTGAACTTTTAGAAAGTATTTCTGTGCATGGCTACGTATCTACAAAACCAGTAAAATTATCATTAGTCCTTTGGGTGAGAAATTGAAAAGGTATTCAAGTTTAAAATGGATTTAAACACCCTGTATCAAAATGAGTTATTTAGATATCAAATGCAAAGAAAATTCATAATGGTGGGAATTTTCAAGGGGAATATTGTCAAGTAAAATGAAGGGATTTCAATAACACCAAAAATAAAAGCATTTTTTGATTCATCTTCTCTGTTACAGTAGTGTCACTGCAAACTCTACCACCTTGACTTTTAGTGTATGTTCTGTCAGTGATGCACCTCTCTACCATTTCTATCTATTTGGAACCTCTTTCTCTCTCCCTTTTTTTTAAAACTTCTCTCCCTCACTCCCCCCTCTTTGCCGCACCTCTTTCGATCCACATCAATTAGTAAACATGCATATATATATAGCAAAATTACATTTTTATTGTTGTTACTTTTCTCTTCTTGGTAAACAATATTTTGATAGTTAAAAAATACATTAAAATCAGAACGCCAACTACTAAATATTTGATTTTGGAGTTACTAATTATATGTTAAAAAACTATATAATTACTCATTTAACTTTCTGCATTTTTTTTCAAGTTTTTAGACTAATTGGCTGATGTTTATTTTTGCTAATCATTTATATTGAAATATCAATTTGTTAATCTCACATATGGTATGGTGGATATTGAATCATTTAATCCAAACAAAGAATTTCAAATATAAGGAATTTGAGTTGTTTATCCAAATAAATAATTTCAAAAGTGAAAAGAATGTAATTAAAGCAAGTAAATTTCCATGCATTTCGAATTCATTAGAAGTTAAAAATTCTCTGTCCAAAAACTATCTAAATATTGAAACCTAAAAAGTAAAAAAAAAAAAATATTAAAATAAAGCAAGTCCAGCAACTCAAAGATTCATGTAAATTCAGATTTTCAAGCCAGCACAGATCCAAGCATTTTCCAACTAAGTGGGGTTGGTGGCATGGATCAAATTATATTATAATGTTCTGTCATAAATAATACCTAACATAAAATATTGCTCCCCGTTTCGCTTGCTAAATTTTTATTAGTCAAAAGGAGCAGCATGTCTTCAAAAGAAATTTGCATTTTTTTTTCTTGTCTGATGAAAAGCCATTCCCTACTCAATACCTAACAGTTTGAAGTTTAGTGCAGTTGGTTCATTATAAACAAAATTATCATGCTTTCCCCATGTTCGGCTCTCATATGTGGAGTCATGTCATTGATTACAAAGATCATTCCTAGATCTGCATCTAACACACAAGCTTTTAGGAAGGCCCTTCACATTTTTAAAGAGAATTACAACGAAAGATATAAATGATGGTATAAAATCTAATAATAAAGGATTTAAAATAAAATTGTTAAAATGATGCATATATTAACATAGTTCACAAAGTGACCATAATAAGAGAGAAAGTACCTATACTACTAATATACAAGTCAAACGTTTATGAAATAAACAATTTGTTTGACATGAGCTCTACAGCCAAATGGCATCACAATGCAATAACTTGCATTGAATAGAATGAACAAGAAACTCATGTTCTACCACGAATTTTAATTTAAAGTAACTTGCTTAAAAACAACAGGACTAAAATGGGTATTAGGTTCAACATTGTTTTCTCATAAACCTTTCTTAAATGGACTGAGTCAACAAACCAACCCTACCAGAGCACCATATGCCAGTGAGTCAAGGAGAATATGGTTAAATAAAATAGCCTTTTTTTTTCAGGGGGAGAAATAAGTCTTATCTTTTCACATTTCGTTTCCAACAATATTTAGTTACTTCGGCAAAATTTGAAAACTACATAATCAATTAACCACATGCCAGGTATTATGTGAAGATTAAATAAAATAATTTGATTAGCAAATATCCCTTTTCTTGCCTAGGATCTATCGGCTTCCCTCCCAAAAAATTCAGAACAAAAACCAAATTTAACAAGGAAATGAGAGAAGGCATACTCCTATTGTACAGTTAACATGAAATATCTACACTAAACTCCAGAATATTACAGAAAATTATGCACATCTGGCAAAGATATTTTTTTTGTTCATTTAGAATTACCTGTATAACAGTCTTTGATCCAACAAATGCCTCAATCTTTTTCCAGTCACGGTCAAACCTGGTAACAAATGAAGGAGCAAAACAATGTGAAGATAGTGGGAAATGGCAATAAAGGCCAAAAGAGTGTAGAAACAAACACCGGCTCTAACTTGCAACACTAGACTTTGGGTAGGGAATGGAATTAAGTCACGACCCTTCAATGATAAGAATTAGTAATTCAAAAGATACGAATCAAAAGTTCTATGCAAGAACCTAGAAAGAGTTTCTCTAACAATGCATATATCTTCATCAATATCAGTCAAAACTAATTACAAAAGTCAACAAATGCTTATTTATACATGGCCCTAAGACTATTAGGCTCATCAAATTATTTATGCCCATCCAACTAATTATGCAATAGCCAGAAGGGGAAGAAGAAAGCTATCTTCAACTGGTTAAACCCACGACCAGCAATAGTAATAGAAGCAATCAGATTATTACAATGTACATGGAATAAAACTTTTACTGTTTTCTTTTAGTATTAATGAAAAGCATTGTATACATGTCCTCAATTCCCACTCTCTATTCTTGGTAATGAAGCTTCCAACCTTGCTTAAAATTCCGACTCTACCACTTATCTCATTGATATCTCAAATTCAACTCCACCATGGTTTGTATGCCAGACAGGATTTCCAACCAACAATGATAATTTGACACCATAAAGAAGACATAATCATGTGAATGTTAGCATCTAACAGAGCATTCTGAAAATAATAAGAAACTGGCTCTGATAATCTTTTCCAATACTCTATCTTTTAAAGCATCTCATCACATTCTTCACCCTTTCTAAGTTCTGACGAGAAACCATGCCAAAATTAGCAATAGTAAACTTATGGACCAGTTTGGTTTGAAAAAACGTTCTGTACCTGTTTTCACTATGTTTTCTATTTTTCTCCTATTTTCGCTAATAGTTACATGAATTATAATTTATTTTCGTTTTTTTTTTCTTATTTTCAAACAAATTAAATTTAAAAAAAAAATACAGCAATATTTTCCTTCGTAGAAAAATAAATTAAAACCATAAAACTTTTTATCGCACCGTACACGGCCTTAATTCACCATTTCTTTGACCTGTTAACTCAACATACAAAAAAAAAACAAACTTTACCCTATTCATTGACCATTTCCATTCTGACACAGTCACCCCTCATAAAACACAAACCCCAATTCTTCCCCCATCAAACCAAACCCCAAACCCTAATTTCAACACTCTCACATACAATTCAGCACATGCAACTCATAAAACCATCTCAGACCACTAAAAAATTCAACGAACCAACACCTCAACCGTGCTATAAACCTCAATCACTGAAGAATTCTCAGAAGCTAAACAAAAGTTGAACACCAAAAAAAAGAGCGAGCATTACAGTTGAAGGGCTTCGAGGAACTTGTCGTGTTCGGGTTCGGTCCAGTTCTCCCGTGACTTGGTGATAGTGTAGGGCTTGCGGATCTTCTTGGCTGCGTCCTCTGAGGAGTTAGAGGCAGAGACGGTGACCGCCGCGGCGGCAGAGGCGAAGGGAGGCATCCCCGGGAGAGCCATGCCAGTCGGATCCAAATAGAATCCCTCGGGCGGGTTCGGGTTCTTGGATACCATTAAAAGATTACAGAGAGAGGAGAGAGAGTTAAATGCTGGGTTCGTGGCGAAACGTACGCAAATTTATGGAAGAACAAATGTTAGGTTAGATGTGTTACTGGTGATGCTATCTACATAAAGAAATATTAAAAATATAATAAGACACATAAAAAATAGAATTTAATTTATATTTATTGAATCGTTTTTTATTTGAAATATTCAATAATTTTTTCATATAAAATGTTTTTTAATATCTCTAATATTACCTAATAAAATAATATATTATTTATGAAATATTCTATTAACGAAAGTTATTAAATATTTAAAATAAAAATAAATTATATATTAACACTTAAAATTTATTTAAATCATATTTACCTATGTCATAGATAATACATAAATTTTAATTTATTGTAATTAATAATTTTTAATATAATAATAATAGTAATAATAATATATTAATATTATTTATATGTTGAATGTTTTATTTTATCTTCACTCTTTTTTTAATGGGAATTTACTTTTTTATTTTATTTTTATCTTTTTCTTTTTTACTTATTTTCATTTCATGATTTTTCATAGTTTCTTTTTTATATTACTTTCATTTATTATGATTGATATCATTTCTAATATAGTTATCGTTTTTATTATTTTCTTTTCATTTATTATGATTGATATCATTTCTAATATAGTTATCGTTTTTATTATTTTCTTATTATTATCATCATCTTCTTTTTTTTGTCATGGTCATTCTTGTAATCATCATTTTCATTGTTATTGACTCTTATTTTATATGTGTTCTCGTTCAAATGGTTCAAAATAAGTTTGTTTCTCAATTTATTTTATCTAGGCTTAGTTTTTTATTCATGAATATAGATTCCAATTCGTCAATTCATATTTGTTTTTGTTCAAAATTGGATTTTAACTTTGACGTTCTTAGGTAGAGCTTCACATTTTTTTGTGTGTGTGTCTTTAACCTTAAAAAGCATATTTAAAGGTTATAGTTATAGACATTTAGTGTTTATGTGTTGTTAACGTTGAATGTAAAACAAAATAACATTATATATATTTGATCACTCAATTTTATATTAGTGTATAATAGAGTTATTATTTTTGTTGTTTATTGTTTTTAATTTACAAACAAATAATAATGATATTTGTTATTTTGTATATGGATTGTATTTTGTGTGATTATATTCCACAAGTTAAGTGAAGAATTTGTTGAATTGCTATGCCTATAAATCAAATATTTGTATATGAGAATTAATGGATAAGGCTAACTGTAATACAAGGTTCTAGTTTGAAATAAATCTTCTTGTTATACATTCATAATAACAATGTTGAAGGAGCTTTTGTATATTACTTGGTTCTATACTCACTAACTAGTCAATTTGTAACAATGATAAGACTTACATGAAAAAGATAATTATAAATATGGTTATGAAATGTTTTAATACGATGGATGACTAGTTTAAACTTCAATCCATGGGTAACTAGTTAAATCTAAATAAATCTATGTTGGAATTTTAGGATTTAAATATGTATTTTGAAATAAAAGATATATTAGAAGGTGTAGTTTCTCTCTTGATACTTTGTTCATGTAATAAATATATATATATATATATATATATATAATATAATAAAAATATCAAATATTAATAATATATCAATTTTAATTACTATAATTAAAATAATAATATAATATATTTTTTTCTTATTTTGAAATATAATAAAAATATTTTAATACTTAATTTTAATAAAAAATTATAAAACATATCCTCAACGACATAGAGAGGGTTTTAAATTTAAATGTGAGATGGGTAGAGATAGAATGAGTTTTCCTATAAACGATTGATACCTTTAAAAATATGAAAATTTTCTCGTAACATCAAATAAAACTTATGAAAAACTAGTTATCTATATAAAATAAAAGTAAAGATGATGAATTTTTAAATGTTACGAAGATGAATATTATAATTATTTTTAGAACATAAGATATTGTTGGTGATTATTATAATTATTTTTTGTCATTTTCATGTTTATTTATGACATATTTATGGGACAAAATATTTTGATAAAGTAAATAATATTTTAACAAATGAGAAAAAGGTTGGTAGTGATAAATTCTGATTCTTGTGTTTAGAGTCTCTATTTTTCCGTTTTTTTCCTTTTTGTCCCTCTTGTTTTGTTTTAGCTACTAATTGACAATTATTTACAATTATTCTATTCTTTTTGTCCACTTTTTATATATCGTTTATCTTCTCTTGAAAATCATTGATTATTACATTTAAATAACATTCTTTTTTTTTTCTTTTCTTCTTCGTTCTTTCTTTAGCTTTGCTTCCTTTTCTTTCTTTTTTTTTCTTATTTGTATTATTATGCAATTTTTATTAGGTTCTCCTTACTTGTCTTTATTGTTTCCATAGATGAAAGTCACAATCGTGTTATATCAAGTCAACATCATTTACATAGATGATGTCATTGGATAAAAAAAGTTAAAATTAGCATAACATTGTTCAATGAATTAGTAATTAAGTAGCTCAGTTGAAAAGATGGAAGGATTTAATATAAGATCTGAAATATAAGTTTTACATTGTTAGATGTATGTTTAAGTTTAGAACTTCATGTGATAAGTGAAATGTCAAATTTGTAGAAGATATTAATTATCATAGTAGGAGATTATTTAATGAGAAATGTTACTTTTAAAATGATTTTCAACCTACTTATTAAACATTAAAATGACAATGTGTTGGCAACTTTTATAGGTTATACATAGTATAAGTTTGTTAGATTTTTTGTTCTCAAATAGATAAGCACTATACATTTTGAGCTCTTTAAGTTAATATATGATTTAGCTTCTCTTAGGAAATATAATTGGGGAAACAATGTTGCAAGTAAGTCTGTAATTAAGATTTATGTTTTATTATATTGCTTTTAAATTTTGGATGCATTATAATAATTTGATTTTAATATTGTGCATTTTCTTCATATTAATTCATATATGAGTTATAAACATCTCCCAATTTACAATACAAACATATATAACGAGAAAATTTAATTTCTAAATTTTTTACAATGGATGAGGGTGAAAATAATATTTTAGTTGTATTTAATCATAACATGGTTAATTTATTAAAAATTGACATATTAGAATTTTTTTACATTACTATACATGAAATGAATTTGAATTGAACTATATTGATTTTCATATTGTTTATAATTAACAAGTTATTAGTGACTTGTATCTAAGAAATTAAGACCTTATTCATAAGATAGTGAAAGAAACTCTAACACATATAAAGAATAAATGTAAGAATAAAAAAAATTCTACTATTATTATGTCTAAAATTATTGTTGAAAAAAGAAGTGTTGATTATCCAAACCAAACAATAAGAAATAACAATTGCAGTTATAGAGTAAAAGATAAGACAATTATACAAATTATTACTTGAAGTAAAGCTATGAACAACAAGGATGAATCCTTCTCCATTATCTGAAATTTACTTTTTTTTTTTATTATAATTGAAGGTAGTCTCGAGGAGATAAAACATAATACTAAAGAAGAAATGAAATTAAAAAGCATTATGAAGGCTTAAACACATACATTTGACTTAAAGTTCATCTAAGAACAAAAGTTCAAACTACTATAATAAAAACACCATGGTTCACATAGGTTACATAAGTGTTAGTAGACAATGATCTACATTAATTAGTTATTAAACTTTTAAATAGTAAAAATATTAATTATTATTTTATGTTTTGATTTTTAAATCTTTATATTATAATTTTTTTGGTCTTTGATGATGTGATTTTTGACCTTGCTCTTTATAACATAGTCATTTTTATATATATGATACGTATGAAAGGTGTAAAACAAAATTTTAGTAATATAACTATGTAAGTTCAGGTGGATAAACATATATCATGTGTCTTACACATGCAAGCTATGAGTGTTAGTGGTGAACCTATATATACACAAGATTGTACTTGTGTATTCCTTGATTTTTTAAAATTATTACTAAATATTTAATTTTTTTATTTTACAATTCTAATCTTATATATTTGAATTTGTTAGTCGTTGTCTCCTAATTATTATTAATTTATATTATTTAAAAAATAAATTGTTCCCACTAACTAATATTTTAGATCCACCATTGTGTTGTCTTTATTGTATAATTGAAAATATTTCAAACAACAATAATTAGCACGACTTAAAATAGATAATCATTAAACTTTAGTCATTTGAATTTATATTAAGAGTTTGGTTAGAAATTTAATTGTCTTGAGTTAATATTAGTTTATTTATAAAATAAAATTTATTAATAATTAAAATATTTTCAAAAAATTAATAATTTTTTACTAGCTAAGTTCATAATAATGATTTTGAAGATGAATATTTAGAAAATTATATGCATGAGTCTTATTTGAATAATATATTATTATTATTATTATTACTTTTTACGGTGTAAAGTGAGAATATTGTACAATCATTATTACCCTGTCTAACCAACATCTCATAATTGCAACATAATACGGAAAAATAACCTAGACGAAGAGTATGAGAAAGAATGTGATAATGACAAAACTCAGACGAACACAACAAGAGTGCAAGACGAAGATAGAACCCATATAAAAATCTCAAGAGAGAACAACATAGAGAGATAGAGTGACAATAAGCACGTGCTTATTTTAAATAATATCTCAACTATAGTATTAATCCTAAGAATAATATTATTAAAATAATTAAAATCGATATATTTAAAAATGTTAACTATAATATAATAATAAAAATGTCTAAAAATAAACACTGTATATATCTTTTATAATAGTTGTTAATTAATAAAATATATTATTGCTTTCGCTTCTAAATATAAAATTTTATTAATTAACTTATACATTTTTTTAAAAATTGCTTATTTAGTTAGAAACATTAAATTAGATAATAATTTCTATCGCTTTTCTGAAGTTATATTTAAAATTATCAGAATTCATCATCTTAGTGCATGCTTAGGACGAATTTT